ATTATTTTTATAAAATACTTATTTTATATTCTAACTTTTAAATTCAAATTTTTTCTAACTATTTGCATATAATAAATAGAACTGAAAGAACTAAAATAATCATTTTTTCTAACTTTAAATATATATATATATATATATATATATATATATATATAAATTCAATTCTCTGAAAAAAACCCTTAGAATTTTCTATTTTTTCAAGATAACCTGGCAGGATTTAGAACTCTTTATTTGAATAGATTTAGTTCTTGTGGGGTCTAATATAAATGAGGTATTTTGAATTACCTCTATGTAATTTACTTATTTTTATATTTTTGTTATAAGAAAATACATTGATTCTTTCTGGATGATTTTTATATATTCTATATTATTAGGATTCTTTGGATTTAAACATCCATTATTTTTATGTATATATATATATATATATATATATATATATATATATATATATATATATATATTGTTTTTATTCACAAGTCAACACCAGAAATGACAGTCTATTTCTGATGATAAATGAAATTAATTTTGCAAATTTTGCATTTAGCATTTAACAGATTGTGATAAATATCAATTTCAGTGTAAAAGTTTTATATTTAAATATCTTTACCTGAAGATGAAATTTAAATTTTATTATTGCATTATTCCATTTTTTTAGCACATCAGTGGATTTCAAAAATGTAACAACTGAAATAAAAATAGTTATTAATTAAAAAAATTAGTTATTAATGTATAATATTATCCAGAACAACATGTCATTTTACATAAAAGTTAAAAAATAACCTTAAATACATAAAAAAGCATATATTGTTGAAAATTTCTTTTGCTACGATATAGCTATTTGTGCAATATTGTAACGCTTATTACCAAAACAATAATTATATTAAATAAATTTTTTGAACATTAAAGTATATTTAATCACATCTTCTTAATAACTCTCTCCATCTGTTAATAATATAGTTATTTTACTATTTTATATAAATTATCTGAAGTATATTAATTGACTGTGAACATATATCAAACTGAATTTATAACATCAGAAGTCTATTCATATTTAATTGTTAACTTATTATTTATGATTATCAAATAAATTTCCCTGTTTACACACACACTCACACACACACACACATAGTCACACACATACACACACACACATATATATATATGTATAAATAATACTGTTTGATAATTAGTATAGATAAGTGCAGAGAGGATATAAATTCAAAGAGAGCTCAATATAAGAACAGAGCAAATAATACTGATTTCATCATTATCTATATATCTGTCTATCTATCTATATATCTATCTATCTATCTATCTATATATATATATATATATATATATATATATATATATATATATATGGAAAATTCTATGACAAACAAAAATTTTTCATGTGATATGTTTCATTAGTTTCTTTTTTTTTTTGATTTAATTATTCTTTGTTAAAAGTAAAAAATTGTGATAATAGAAAAAATTCCAAATAAAATTTGCTGTGGGGATCTATTATAAAGCAATTTTTCTAATATTTTCATTGAGTAAGTAAATGGAAAATTTAAAAAAACTTTTAATATTTTGTTTTAGATTTTTTAAAATTGTTTCAATGTAACCATTTAAATTTACCATTTTCATTCATATACATAAACACACACAAAACACACACACACACACACATATATATATAAAAAATTATATTTATTAATAGTTATAAGAAAAAAAACATAAAATTCTATATATAAATGCAAATTTCAAAATCAAATTTGTGAGTCCCTTCAGCTATATTGAACATTTTTAGCCTGAACTCGAGACAATAAATACATTATATCAAAAAATGATTGCATTTATGTAGCTTAATTTATAAACATGCTTTTTTTATAATTGTTAGCAAAATATTATTATTATTTAGCTCTATCTAGGGACAAAATGACTTAGAAAACAAAGCATTATAATGATAATAAGAAGAGATTTTAATTATCCATTTTATTTATATGTTCACATTTTAAAATTATAAATGGAATGTATAATTAAAGTCTCTCTTCAATTACAAAACATTTCTATCTTTATTTATCATCTATCTATCTAGATAGATAATTCAGATAGAATTATAGATAAATAGATATATATTTAAAATCTGTAGATATGCATTGAGCACTGTTTTGGAAAAAATAAAAATATTAATAATTGAACGCAGATTATATATCTTACTATCCCAGTTTG